ATGCAGGTCAGGGCTGTACTACTATGCTGATGACTGATTACTTCCAAGTTTTGTTTCCTTAGTGACAGTACAATGCTGTGTAAAACAGTGAGTGCTATCACTCTGACTTTGTATCTAGACTTGTGTGAATGAAAAGATATTTGCATGCTGATCATTACATACTGATGTAATCCTGATTGAAGCAAGCAAAACCACTTTTTCTGAAGGACTAAATCCCGAAGTTACTGTCTGGGCTTCTACTGAAGTACCAGGAGGGAGGGTGATTGACGTTTCTTTTGTGATGATTAGTTTTTCTTAATTTCTTTGACACTATTTTTAGGATACAAAGGAAAAAAAAATAGCCTCGTGTAAAACTAGAAAGTTTTGGTGGACATAAGAGGAGAATATGCTTCTAAATGAGAGAAATTATCTTTTCGAAACAGGATCATTAATATTTTTGTGCAGAAATTGAAAAGGTAAAAGAAATGGGGACAGAATTTGCTTCTCACTTATCCTACTTCTTAGTTTGAAGTCTTGAATGTTAATTTGGTGGCTTTTAGATTTATAGCTCCTTAAAGAGATGCATGTAAAAAGTGAGAACTAATTTTGTAAAACTGATGTGTGTTTTGTTATACTCATTATATGTACAACATTATATATAACCCATTTCTTTCTATCAGGTGTCAGCAATGCATGGCTAGAAACTCTTCTTGCTGTAATAGAAGCTTTACCAAAAGAGACTGTCAGACATGAGGTAATAATATTCTCCCACTTATGGTAAAAAGAAAGTAATAATATTTTATAAGACATTGGTTTCCTGCAAATCTCATTCACTTCAGTAGGATTTGTGGCAGTTCTGTGCCTGTGAAAACAAAAATGCTTGTGGAACATCCTGAACGAGAGGAGCATGCTAAGAGGTGAGACCAGAAGAAGACCTTAAAAAATTTTGGTGTTCTTCAGCAAATAAAGACTATTTACTGTAATACTTCCACTGCACTTGGTATTCCCAGTAACATGTTTTCATATATCCTGTTTTGGTTTACAGGATAATATCTCATTCTCTCTCTTCATGAAGAAACGACATTTTGTTTGCTACTGGACTAAAATTCTGATTTCTTCTAAATGGGACTGAATTCTAGAGATCCATTTCATTGTGTATTTCAGTTGTTCTTAATGTACCAAAAACCTTATGCCCTGCAAACACTCTTTAATTTTTCACTGTGTAACTCAAGAAAAAGGAAGGAAATCTAGAACTAAGTCATAACGTCACTCCTCTTTACTCAGCTAATTTATTCAGTTTTGTTTTGAGTATTCTTATTTCATTGTTAAGTTTAAAAGCTTTGCAACAAACATATTTTACTGTTTATAATTTAAAACAAAATGGAGATTTAAATGTATGGTTGTTCGTGTAGTATAAAAATACTTACTTAAATTAGAGGTAGTCGAAATCCAGCACTGTTTAAAAAACAAATTTCTAAAGAGTGAAAACTTAGGTGGGAAAAAGAAAAAAAGAGAAATTATTCCAGTCACCTCCAAAATCTTATTGTAATGTAATTTTAAAGATGCCATTTAAACAAGATGGAGTTTCTCCCCTGATTTGTCTCTAGGAACACATTTGTACGTTTCCATGAAAACTTCCTTTGGGAAGATCACAACTGATAAAGCAGTGTTGATTCAGCAGCTATACAGAAACCTGAGTTTGAAAAGAGGCCTTTTGTGTTACTTGAAGGATCTTTGTACGAGAAAACTTAGATTGTTCTAGTTAACAATTTTTTTTGTAAGTAAAAATCATAGGACTATCGTAGATTCCAAGGACATAAGGAAAAGTGTGTGTAAGTGGAGTCAGTATTGCTAGACATGGTCTGTTTGCTGTCATCGTTCAAAGACCAAATAAGTAATATACAGTTTTGTAGATAACTAATGACATGTTTCTTTATGCAGTGTTATAGTTAGAAGCATAAGTTATGTACTAATTCTGGTCTGAGTGATCTATTTGTCCATACAGTGGTAAGATTCTCTCACCTCAAAATTTCAGCATGTAAGAGGAGGAGAAAAATGCTTTTAGATGATTCTTGGACTTTTCTGCCCTGTATCTTATCCTTTTGTGGAGCTCTGCAAAAGAAATTGAGGGAGGAAATGTGGCAGCCTACAGGAGATACCTCTGTGTAATATACCTCTTGGCCTGGCACCTGGATTTCTATGATTATTTCTGGACCAAAAAAAAAAAAGTGTCTAAATATGGTGTTCTGCAGACCTTTCTTAGTTTGTTTTTGGCACCATAGAAGTGATCCAAATGACAGCAGAGCTCCGCTAAAGGTGCAGGTTTTCTGCGTCTATATGGAAATGAAACCTCTTCTCTACAGATTCCCAAAGTATGCATAATAAAGAGGGATTGTTGCCTCAGAACTTTACATCAAAAATGGTGTTTCCTGGGAAAACTTATGAGAAAGAACTTCAGAGAGGCTTCGTTTTCCTTTCTCTGCATATTTTTTTTTTTCTTGTGCAGGAACATATTTAACAACTTTTGTGAAAATTAGCAGCTAATAGCTATAAATATTCATATACAACTTAGTCTCAAAATAAAGACAGAACTAGACACATGTAAAACTGTGGCTGCGATGTGAATCATAAACTGCTATTTGGCCCAAGATATGGGTTTATTATGCTATAATTAGCACTGAATATTAAATATGGTTTTCTGATAGACTATTAATGTACATAGGCATTGTTATTGTTAGTACTGATTAATTCCATGGAAGCTGTAGATGACATTTGGGATATGTGTTTCTAGATTTTTTTTTTTTAAGAAGGAGAATACCTCATTTACTGATCACATTTCTTCTGCTCACATTTCTTCTTTTTTCTTTTATATAGATCCTGAATCCACTTGTTTCCAAAGCACAGCTTTCTCAAACACTTCAGTCCCGCTTAGTTAGTTGTAAAATCATGGGAAAATTAGCTAACAAATTTGAAGCTCATATGTAAGTAGACTGTACATATATTTTTATTCCACAGTATATGCCAGTATTTGTTTGTTAGTGGGCAAAAATTAAATGCTTTCTTTTTACAGAGCCCTTAATCTGGATGTTAATAAATAAATAATAATAAGTTAATTATGTAACTAGCATAGTCAGACTTACTGATGTTCATCAATTTATAACTTCATATGTATGTTCTTCCACAGATTCAAGTAGGTGCCATTTTCATGCCATTTTCCCATACTGTTTTTCTTACTGGGAAATAAGCCAAACAGTGGATTTCTCTGCAATTTAGAGACAAAACACAACTTCATTATCTTAGAGTTTCTTGTCATAAAGAGAAGAATCCTGTTCCTAAAATTTTGTTTGTCTAACCAAATTTAATATGTAGATTATTTTTTTTCCTGTCCCTAACTATATGGAGATGTATCAGGAGCCACTATCGTAGCCTGATATTATCCAGCTCTTAGATTCAGTATCTGTGGGTTTGGACAGTGGTGCTGAACAGGGAAGCAATGATGAAGGTAAATCTGAATAATTTATCTGCCCAAAGCAGTTGATATGATGCATTCTGTGGGCAGCTTATCCAGTCTTATGATAGTAGGACCATTTCACAAGATGTGTTTCCTATCCATGCAATTGGCCACATGTTATTTTGCATTACAAAAGAAATCCACTGAGGGCTACTAAATTCGTAGAAACCATGCCTAGCTTACGAATTCTGCTCTAATAATGATTTTGATCTGCCCCAAAATGCAAGAATTCACCTTAACAGAAAATACGACCAACAGAACAATATGGCAAGCCATTTAGGAATAAATTTTTTCAAATGATGATTTTTTCTTAAAAAAAACCCTAGAAGCAACCAAAAGGAAGCTATCTACACCTTCGTTTGCTATGTAGACTACACTTGTTGGACATGCAAAAGTTAATAAGCATGGTAAAGCAGTATTTTTTTGAGGATGTTACCAAAGCCATTGCGTCCAAAGAAGAGCAACAAAGCTGATGAAGAGTATAGAGAACAATTCCTATGAGGAGCAGGTGAGGGTACTGGGGTTGTTTAGTCTGGAGAAGAGAAGGCTCAGGGGAGCTCTCTACAACTACCTGGAAGGAGGTTGTAGTGAGGCAAGTGTTGGTCACTTCTCACAAGTAAGAAGTAATAGGACTAGTGGAAATGGCCTTGAGTTGCATCAAGGTAGGTTTAGGTTGGGTATTAGGAAAAATGTCTTTGCAAGAAGGGTTGTCAAGCATTGGAACAGGCTGCCTAAACCACGACACCAGGGAAGTGGTGGAGTCATCATCCCTGGCGGTATTTAAAAGATGTGTAGACATGGTGCTTGAGGATACAGTTTAATGGTGGACTTCGTAGTGCTAGGTTAACCATTGGACTCGCTGGTCTTAAGTGTCTTTTCCAACCTAAATGATTCTATGATTCTGATTCTATGAAATCTTTATCTTCAAAATTTATAGAATCACAATTGCTTTTATTTATTTGATGTTACATCAATTTTCACATTCCACATTCTTCTTCAGAATGGAACCATTTTTGCTTGTAAAATACCATAATTCAAACCTTTTTTTTTTTTGTATTTTGCATGATTCCCAGTTTATTTTGTAGAGTATTGAAAAAGTCCCAACCTTGGAATAGAACATTAGTTTTTCTACTCTCTGTTCCAACAGCTAGTTAAAAACAAGTCTTTTTTGGAAGTAATCCGTACTTCAGAGTGTTGTAAAATGCCAGACTCTCAAGACTGTACAATATTTGAAACTTGAGGCCAAATTTTGCTGTAAGAGGTAAATTAATTTTCACTGGGATGAGTGGAGGCTTTGCAAACTGGCTTGAAAATTTACTTGGCTATGGCTTCATATTATTCCTCTTGAGTTTTGCAACAACATAAGGATTTGGATAGAGATAACGTATGAATACTCATGGCAGCATCTTGGGCACTGAAAGGAAACACGATGGTTGATTCTGCCAAGTTGTAGTATGTGTTTTTACTCAAATAGAACTCAAAATAGTTATTTTTGTATCTGCCATTGATTTAACAGGAATATTGGGGTCTACTTGCATAAAAGCATTGCAGTACTGAAGCTTTTAATCTTAAATTCTTTTTCAGCTTCCCAAATATCTCATTGGTGATAAATGCATATGAAAGATGAGGTATTAGAGACAGTTAATTTAGATTTGGACTTCTGTGTATATAATTCTTTGTATTCTTACAGTGGCTGTTCAAAAATTGTACTGAAGATGATTATTAAATGAGGACTTCTCTAAGGCTGCCTACTAATTTTGCAGTTTAAAAAGAATAACAGATGAATATGTGCAAATTATAATGACTGTAAATAATCATTTTTCTGTTGCTTTATAGCACATATTTGTGTCTGATGTGCAGTATTCTTTTATAATTGCAAATTCTCAGAAAAATAATTTACCATGTGTGATAAATTAGTTTAAAAAAAAAATTGCCATTAGAAGTAATATATAGGTAAAATTTGAGTGCTACTGGAGTGGATTTTATGTGTTCTTGTTCTGTATATTAATAAAAAATGTTCACATTTTTAGTATTAAAAGAGAGATTCTTCCATTGGTAAAATCACTGTGCCAGGATGTGGAATATGAAGTTAGAACTTGCATGTGTCGGCAGTTGGAACATATAGCTCAAGGAATAGGGTGAGTAAAATTTGCATAACTGCTTCTAAAAGCAGAATCTTTCTCTAAGATATCTAATGCAAACCTAAAAACTCCTTTTAAGATTTCTAACTTAATTCATGTGTACTCAGTAATGAATTTGGAGCTTACAGATGTGTTCTTAGGAACTGACTGTTGGCAGTTGGCTCTTTTCCATTTTCAGATTTTTGTTTCTCTCTGATAGTAAAATTGCTGAACCATACAAACAACAATTTTTTGTAAATAATGACTTCATCTATAGCTTCTTGAAATCATCTCAATTATTTATTGATGTCATTGGGCTTATTTAAAAATGGAAGAGGATTATGGCAAGTATTAGCAGTTTCTAATAATTACGTGCATTTTTTGCAAAAGGATGCTAAATATGTTTTGTAAGCGAATTTTGGTTCAGTATCAACTTTTTCTACAAGTTTTAAGACCTTCAATATTGCACATATAAGAATAGAAAAAGTCTGGAAGTGTTATTTTAATGAATAGAATGTGTTACCTACCCACATAGAATTGGTTTCTGAGTGGACAAGTTTAAAATTCCAAGTCTATCCACCTATTATTGTGTCAGGAAGAAAAAAAAGCAGCAGCTTCTCTTATGGACTTGAATAAATTATCAAGTAAAGTTCACTGCCCTGTGACACTTAGATTAGATCTTAAGAGTCCCTCTGACTTTTAAAATTGTGAATTTATGAGCAAATGCAAGGATGAAGCTGTAACTGCAGTGTAATTTGAAAGATATGGTAAATATGCGCTTTTCTTAAGTTTGTTAGCACTGGTGTTTGTGGAAAAGATGCCTTCCTATGACTGCGGAATGATATTTTTTTTTTTTTAAATGGAGAATTATGTTCTGGTTTAGGTTTCGAGTTATTTAAAAGAACGAAAACAAAACATCAGAAATTTGAGAAAGGCAATGCGATTTATCTCTCAACCATGGAATACTGGAAAAGTGTACGTTCAGACGGTGGTTTAGCTTGCCCAGATAGAGGGAATGAATATTTCCAACAAGAACTAAGCATTACTACCATGTACTTAATTTAACTTTGTTTTGATAAGGTCATGCAGGATAGTAATTTCTAGATTGCTAGATAAACTAGATAAATAATTTTATATATGTGCTTTTCTGCAAGGTCCTTGTTCTGCAAAAGTTCTGACGATGTGAATAATGTGAAAACACACTAGTCACTAGTTGTGATTTTTTTTCCATAACAACTGAGTTTTGAAGGGAGAGATGGTTCTAACTGTCATATTAGTTTTAAGTTTTTTGATGCCACCAAAATGGAAATCCACAGAAGCATATTTTCAAAGTTTTGCTCCACCTCCAACTTTCTTTTTTTTTCTTCCTAATTTCTGGATCTTGATTTAATATGTAGTCCTACCCTTCTCTCCACTGACCCTTCCTAGATAGACCAGATATGTTCTGGTCTATCTCCATCACCTTTCTGCCTTTTCTCATTTGTTATTGCTCAAAATGATGAGATTTTTTTGGTGCCTTATTTGAGATACCATCTGCATTTCTGTGGATTCCTCTAACATTCTCAGTTAACCTCTGCTCTAGTCAAGAGCTGAAAATTAATCATGAATTTGGCTTTGAAAATTATTTGTGACACATGATACAGCAAAATGTTTGGGTTTTTTTTGAAAGTAGTGTAAGTATGTTAATCCAAGTAAAAGAACTCTTATCTAAGATATGCGTATAGTTAGAGAATATTCTTTTCAGATACTATTGAAACATTTGTTATGTTTTAAAAATGCACAGCTGCACAGATTTCCTTGCCTTGTAACTCAGTCTATTGAGAAGCAGAAAATGTTTTTTGTGGTAGCCTTTAGGAAGCACTCACGGTTTGTGTGAATCTGTGAATTTACTTTCAGCAGTTTTATATTACATTTAAGATGGGTATATGTACAGCCAGGTGTTAAAAAAGGAACTAAATATGTGTATTTGTGTTGTTTTCCTCACTCCTCCTCCAAATGCTCTTTGAATTCAACATATACTAGGCAATGTGTAAGATAAAGCAAAAAAGATGCTTTCATTTGTAAGAAGGTGGCTATAAGTTGTGCTAACAAGTGACCATTTTGGAAAGGAAATAAAACGTTCTTCATTCTGTTTAGTGTCTTTAATATGAACTAAATTGTATTTATTTTACCTTGGAGCTGAAAGTTTTAAAACAAGATAGATGTTATGCAGTGGCAAATGACAGTATTACTGGCAATTTATCCAGCCTTAGAATAGTGGTTTAATAGGGCTAAATACATAGTTCTCAATTAGTGGTCCGTCCTGTATATTTTTCTTCAATTCTTTCCTCCTCAACTTATATTTTTAGCATTGATGTATCCATATATACTGTTTTCTCACTGAGGTTTTTGCCTAGTCCCTACCCAATGATTTAGATGCTTTAATCTCATGAGAAATGGCGAACTGTTGGTTTTTGTGGTATGTAAAGTATTGCAGTGTTTCATGTCGAGGATGAATAGGTAGTAGGAAAACAAAGACAATTAAATAAATAGAAATAAGCGCATTTTTAGGTAAATGTTGAAGGCATAATGTGACAACAGTCCCAAAGCTTATTTTTACTATTTACTAATGTTATCACTAAATAATATAATGTAATTTTATCATAATTTTTTATAAATGATTAATCATCTGTTTGGAAGAATACTGTTAAGCTACATCTTGATTTACTGGTAACAGTAATAAACTCTGTAAGGTGCACATCACTTTGCTGACTATAAACATTTGAAAGTATTATTCGTATTGATTTACAAAAAGGACATCTGTTACTTGTTTAGTTGGGATCCCTTGGAAGGGATATTTTGGGCATTTTTATTTCAGTAAAAATCTGACATCCTGGAGGCTGTGATTAGTTCTGTATTAAAAGCTGTGATTGAAATGACAGAGTGTAAACTCTTTGTACTCAGTTGCTCGAAGTGTCAAACATAGTTTCAATTTTGTCATCTTGTTTAATACTCACATAGTGTAATTTCATTAAAGTGTTTCCCAGCAATTTTATATTTTGGGCAGTATAAATGTTGAGGACCAGACCCCTGGCTGTTATAAATTGCTGAGGTCCCATTCTTGAGACGTGGTGCTTATAACAACTTTCATTAGTTGATAAGCAGACAAGAGCTAGTACGTGAGAGCAGGACAAAGTGGGCTTCTTAACTCAAATGTAGACAAATTCAAACACTAGGAATCTTGACTATTATAAATAAAAAAATGAGCATGATGGAAAGAAAAGTGGAGATACTGGGTGTGTCTTCCGAGTTCTTTTTGGTAGTAGGGCTGCAGAAAAGATCTTTCTAATCTGTGAAAGCAATCAAGAATCAGTTATACACTGAGACATGCAAAATTATACTGGTTGGTAGCTTCTACAGAAGCTATACTTTTCTTCCAAGAAGTGAATCTCTTCATCTTACTTATGCCGGTCACCTTGCTGTGCCAATGTTGCTGTGCCAATGTTTCTGTGTCAAGAGTATTTCACTCTTCTTTAGTCACCTCTCTGGTTAAACTCTGGTTTCTAAGTCAGTCCTTAATACAGCAACCTGCTGCCAATGTATAGATTCAAGTTATCGAGACCATCAGGCACAAAGACAGTACTAGTAATTACCAAGACAAAAAGAAACCAGCAGAACCCTTTCTTTACTACTTTGAAACCAGCCTAGAAGCTAGTGTTTGTACTACTTGAGAAACTGTGCTTTCTCTGAGCAGTAAGTAGTTGCTTACCCTCTGTAAAGAAAGCTCACCTTTAAAGCATAAGATTTTGAGATACTTCAATCTGGCATGACTCATGTTTAATACTTTTTGGTTTTGGACCATCGCATTGAGCAGTTTCTGCTTATTTGAAGAAGAATTTTCTTAATGACACAGTGAAATAGCTGGACTCCTTTGAGTTTTTCACACTGTGTTTTCTCTGATTTATTTTGAGCTATTTTGAATGCTTTTTTAGTGATGAAATTTTGCTTTTAAAGTTTGCATATTTCTTTGAGTGACAAAAAAACTCCTCCTGAGAGTGACTGGAGGTTTTTATTTAATTTTACTTTCCTTACAACTTTGTCAATTTTTCCTTCTTGACTACCCAAAAAATGTCTACATGAGTATTTCAAGGAAGAATTCTGTTTTACTGTGGCAATATTGTTTCATTATATGTTTTCTCTTGACTGCTTGCCTCACTTTGCAGGACAGAACTAACAAAAACTGTGGTGCTTCCTGAGTTAGTAGAACTGGCAAGAGATGAGGGTAGCAGTGTACGCCTTGCAGCTTTTGAAACATTAGTGAATCTACTCGATATGTTTGATGCAGGTAAGGATTTAATTTGGGCTTACTAGCCCAGTTCTTAATGCTTTAATGCATCTTTTTGTTCTGTCTGCATTCTTCAGGCATTTGTGATCTTATTTTGTTTATTCTTTTATTCTTTATGTATTTCATGTCTTGCAGTGCTTTATACGTAGTAAGTTTTAAGGAAAGTGAACCAGTTGTCCATGAAATCAGTTATCTTATTCCAAGTTTCTAATGTAATGTGGCTAAATGGAATGAGTAAAATTACTATATAAATGATAGAAATATTGGGTGTTAGTATTTACTTAATGCTATCAGTACACAGAATGCAAAACATAAGCTCAGCAGATGCCATTGCTTGTACTTTTTTTTGCTGTTAACTAGTTTTTGTCTCAACTGAAGTAAACCTCATCCTAGCTACAGACTGCAGCCTGCCCTCCGAGATGAAGAACCCAGAATGGGGCAAAGATATGATATTTATGTGTGTATCAGTAAAATATGCAGATTTTAACATCCAGTGTTATATGTCAAATACATTTGTAAATTTTGGAACAGAAAATATGTTCCATAAACTACAGTGTGCACATTGATTGTAGAGGTCCTAAGCATCAGCAATTACTATCTAAACCTCTTTAAACTTCTGGCTATAGGGCACTGAAAGCATTCGTCTTTGCAATGAGAAACCGTGCTTTTTATAAAGCTTTTCTGTATTTAAAACAGAAAATGTAAATGCTTGTATTTTTCTCAGTGCTCTATATCTTACTTCTGATCTACATGCATATTTCATGCTCCTCCAGGTGTAGGGGTGAGTGTCTACGTCTTCATGTGAGGAAAGAGAAAAGTCTCTGTTGTATCCATTTTTTCTGGCATAGTCGTGGTGGGTTACCTACACATGGCTCTTGGGTTCTCATCACAAGTTCAGTCTTGTCCTCCAGTCAACTGCTCTGTCTCTATTTTTTCAAGGGGATGTAGAAGACAATAACAGCAGGCTTTTCTGGCTCTGTATCAATTGTGCTCTCTGCTGTTTTGTTGTTTTTGGGGTTTTTTTTTACAACTGGAAACGTACAAAGCAGTGAAGTACATGATCCATCGTTCCTATAGTGTTTGTGAAAAGAAAAAATTTATATTGTTGACAACTTCTCATTATTTATCACTTCGATCTTTTTTCCACTGTCTTTTTCTAAACTCTTCATTTGTTCATCTTCATTAGCAACTCTGTATTTTGAATCACATTTCCCACTCCCACTCCCATCTTACTGACTCTACTATTCCTTTCTGATGCACAACTGAGGAGCAAATGTTTACTGTACAGGAGCTTGGTGATTGCATATAAGCCATATGGAGGAGTACATAAAGAAATAAGATAGTTTCATGGAGAATACCATAAATGGACTTTTTAGTTGTTAGTGCTTATATCAATAAGTATGAGAGTAGATTATTTTGCAAATTATTGAACCTTTGCATTGATGCTATCAAGTTTGTGCTTCTCTTTGCACTTCCTAGTCTTCAGTCCTGCCCACCTCGCAAGTGCTGTAACTACTGCTTTTAGCTATTCAAAAAAAGCTTACAGAATGCAATCAGGGATTATTTACAGGTTTGTAAGGAATGTGTTTCTAGAAATGTGGTTTGCGTAGTTTTTGGTTTCATGTTTGAACTAGAATGAACATTTTGAAGGTAGGTGACCCAAAATTATGTCCTAGGGTTTTTTTCCTGCAATATCAAAATATTTATTCAGGTCAACCTAAATATTTTGTTCACCCATAATTATTTGCTGAATTTTGGTATTAGTCTACCATTAAAAAATCCTAATCCCTTTAAAACTTGAACATTTTAAAATACAATGGTTTTATTTAAAACATATCAAACCACATAAATTTCATTGAATGTTTTCTCCTTTATTTTATAAGGAGGTAGAGTGCTTGTATTTGCCTTTAATTTCTAAATGATTTAATTTCTTTCCTCTGCCATTAATGATTTTGTTTCTCTGTGAATTTATTATTTACCAGAAGATTTTCAACCTCTTCTTCTCAATAGGTTGAAAAAATTCACTTCCAGTGTATCCAGATTTTTCTTTTTACTGTCATGGTCATGTTCGGTCTTGATCTCCCTGTATTTCTACTATATTAGGCAATCTTATTGTAGGAGTACTGCCACATTCTTTCTCTCCCTGTCTTCTTGGTGAATGGAGAAGTTAGTGACTGTTCTTTTAGTCTTTGTCTCATTGTTTACTGGGGGATTCCTTTTTCCTTAAAAACAAATGAACAAAATGGGTAAGGTGTTGAAATTTAGGACCTCTATCATGGTAGTATGTTTGTCATTCTCTATACCTCTTGTTTTCCACCTCCAGTGGGTGCCTGCCAAAAATACTCCTGAGCCTATTAAATTATATTAATTTATTATGGAAGTTCACTCTCTGTGCTCTTTATAAGATGTTGACAAATGGTTAACTTTAAAAATTTCTTTTGTTTTTCAGATGACAGGAGTCAAACTGTGCTCCCCTTAGTGAAATCATTCTGTGAAAAATCCTTCAAAGCAGATGAATCTATCCTAGTTTCATTATCTTTCCATTTAGGGAAACTATGTAATGGATTATATGGTATGATTTGATGTTCTTTTTAAAAAAAAATCTTTAAAATGAGGGAAGATTGGAGAATTTGAGGCCCTTGGCAAATATCCAGATTTAAATGTGTCAACTGAAATGATAGATAGGAAAGGAAATATGGAAGTAAAAGAGTGAAATCATCTATTGCATAAATATTGGATTTGGGGAATTTCCTCTTTTGGGTGTCTGGCTGTTTATTGGGGTTTTTTATATTTAGACAGGGACAGAGTTTTTTGTTTAGGCAGGGTGAGACATGGAAACATGACAGTTTGTGTTTATTGGTTTGACGGATTTATTTTGATTCCTTCTTGGAGCTTGTGAGTTGAATGACTGAATATTTGAAACTGTAAAGCTTTGAAAACATAGTATGATATTGACTGTTCATTTCTGTGCTTGATAGCCTTTTTGAGGCACAGTACAGAGCGCGGCCCGTAAGGAACTTCAGGAGAGAAGGGATACCTGATGGCATGTGGATTCCCAGCTGCAGCTGAGGCCAGATCTGTACCCATAACTTTTGTGGTTTTCACTTGAGCACTGCAGATCTTTCCTTGATCGTTCTGCCCACCATATACCTGCTACACAGAGCTTACCTGGGGAGGGACAGCGCAGAATCATGGTTTTAGATTATAGAGAATTTCCCCCTAGACTCTTAAACTCTTTGATCTTTCTTACAGATCTTTAAAATGATCCTTTATGATCATGTTAGAGGCTATAAAAGTGACTGTTGCTTCACTATAAATTACTCGCTAGGGCTATTCCACCGTGTCAAACTGTTATTTATGGAAACATAGAGTTAGGACAGTACATCCCATTTTTATTATGTCTTCCCAGTCGTCTTTTCTCTAGGTTGAATGACTTTAATTGCTCGTCTTTCTTCACCTCTGAACTCTGTCTGTCAAGTTCATATTTTTCTTGAAGTGTTACGCCTTAGGAGAGCTGATCAAAGTGAAAAGGTTACTTCATGTGTCTTGCAAGCTATACTGCTGTTTACATTTATCAGTACAAAAAACTCTCTTTTTTTTTTCCCAAGTTTGCAATAGTTTGACATTGTTCAAGTGCAACCTATGAAGCCTTTTTGGTTGTTTGTTGTGGTTTTTTTAATGATTCTGACAGCTAAATAGCTGTCAGAAGAAGTCGTTCTCTTTCCTGGCCTTGTCCAGGTGATGTGGATCTGGCTAAGCATGGTACCTTACCTCTATCCCAATTAAATAATAGTCTGACGTTTTAAGACCACACGTCCAGTTTCTGAAGATTGTTTAAAACTCTTATCTTCTGAAGAATAAGTCTCCCTTCCAGGTTAATGTTATCAGAATATTTAATAAGTGAAGTCTCTAATCCAACATCAGAAAAACCCGGGAAAATACTGAATAGTACCAGAACTAGGATAGACCTTTCTTTATACATTTGCCTATCTTGTCAGTGAGCCTTGAGTAACTTTCTCTTAATTGTTTTTCCAAGTAGTTTTGCAGCACCTTTATAGTTTTTCATCTCTCTTTCCTTATCCCTTATTTTCCTTGTGAAAAACATGACCTTTACTGCATCTTTTGTATTCACAGGTGCTGTTACGAAGTACTAGAAGGAAATGGAATCAATCTGACAAGTTTTGCTTTTGCCATGTTGGCTGCTACTTGTTTTCATATTTTCAGTATTTACAAATAGATTTTTTGATTTTTTTTTTTGTTCCAATTTTTTCAAAAATGTGAAAGTTATCGGACTGATCTGTAGTTATACAGCTTGTCCTTCCCCTCTCCAACTGTTAGATATCAGTACCACTTTGCCCTTTTCCATTCGGATATCTCACTTATTTAAGATTTCAGCAGCTAGTACTTTGAATACTTTTGAATACTGTAATGAAGCACATCTGACCCTGTAAATTTTGGAAACCTCTCATGTTTAAGTATTCACTGACCTGTTCCTTCTCTACTTAAAGATTGAATCCTTATCCCTATTGTTAATTGTACTGAGCGTGATGATACTAGTGGAATTTGAGAAAGAAAATAAAAGCATTAAGCATTTTGACCTTCTTGGTACCAATCACTGATAGCTTTCCTCCCTCTCAAGTAGAAAACTGAGCCCTTGATTGTTCTTTTATAACTAATGTACTTATTAAATGACTTGTTATTTTTGAAGTCATCTTGCTAGTTCCATTCCAGTTTGTCTCGACATTTCTGGTTTTATTCTTATACCTCTTTATTATCTGCAGCAACATGGCCTAATTTTTCAAATTTCTGCAGGCACGCCTTCTTTATGTGACTGAGTTTGGATCTAAAATTTTAATCAAGAAGAAACCAGTATTAGTGGAACAAACAATTATATTCACAATACTGCAGTTGAAGTCCTGAGTATTTCAAGAATTATGTAAACAGAAATTAAGATTGTCTGGGTTCTAGTTAGCTGTCATTTTTATGTGATCACTTTTTCTGTATGAAGTGTACTGATGATACTCTGCTAGACTCAAGGTGCGAGGGAGGAGGGATAAAAATTAACATATTTGATGGATTTTTAAATGAGTTTTTGAGACATTATTAATAGCATTTGTAATAAGGAAAGTAAACTTTTTTTTTTTTTTAAGGCATTTTCACTCCTGAACAGCACTTACGGTTTTTGGAATTTTATAAGAAGCTTTCCACACTGGGTTTACAGCAGGAAAATGGACACAATGATAATCAACTACAACTTCAAAGTCTGGAACAGGAAAAGAAGTATATTTCAGTGAGGAAGAACTGTGCGTACAATTTTCCAGTAAGTAACATTAATTTAAGGTTAAATAATTTCCATTGTGCATATAGTTCACTAAATAGGACTGCATGAGTGATAGAGAAGTTATTCTCAAATTGTACATTGTTAGCTAGATTCTAGATCTCTCCTGGAAAGTTCAAGTTAATGGCTTGAAGTAGAGGTTGTCCCAAAGAGTTACCAGGAAAGATTACTCGTAACAGAGCCTCAGAAGACTATTGGCAAGTTTTGACTGAGAGGGTGCTGTTCTGAGAGGTTACTGGTCTTGTTCTTTCCTACACATTTTCTCCAAACCCTTAGCACAAGTTTCAAACCACTCAAAGTTAGGTTTTCGCATTTGCTCTGTGTCATGGCATTCTAGGGAGTTGAAGATTGAATCTGAATGGTTAGATTCATGTTTTAGTCACGTTCCTGCCTGAATAAAGGAAAGATTTTTCAAGTTCATATGAGATCTTTAAACTTACCACTCATGTTTCTGTAAATCTACTTCTTATTTTGACATTATTCTTCTGCATTTATATTTAAAGAAAATACGTTTGTACCAAGAGCCAGTAGACAGTTATTTTTATTCTACCTTTTAAAGACAAACACCCTGTATGTAGGTAGACATCTGTTGGTTTGTTTGAGCAAAAATAAGGTATGTACATACACAATTATTTTAAAACTCAGATGCTAGCTTTGCTGCTTCCTAAAATGTTCTTTGCTTTTGAAGTTTCCAGTTACACTTCCACTAGTGTATGGAAACATTAACAGTATTTATAAAACTAATGTTTTATATCTTGTAGTTTTAATCTATGTCTTCAGAAAAAAAGCCTGCAGTATGTCTGGGAAATGTGTAAATCCAGTTTAGTTCTCAACTCCAGAACAGAATCTGGTGCCTGTGTTTTGACATGACCATCAAAAATGCCACACTTCCTCTTTAAAATCACAACCTGTTATCTCCCAAGTGTCTTGTTAGTTGTAACTCAATGTTTTCATCTGATAATCTCTGATAGTGTGGTCTTTTAGCTATACAGTTAATGAAAGACTTTGTCTTTCCACAGGCCATGATTGTTTTTGTGGATCCAAAGAACTTCCATTTAGAACTGTATTCTATATTCTTCTGCCTTTGTCATGACCCTGAAGTTCCTGTCAGATATACTATGGCCATAAGCTTCTATGAAGTAAGTCTACAGTGGTTCTTTGTTAGTACTTCCATGTTTTTATTTTATGTTGTTTTCTTCTTTAAGCTTACATTTGTGACTGTTCAACCAAAATAAAAAGACCTGAGAAAGCTTGTTGAAATGGTTTCTTACTTGTATATGTAGCCCATATATACACATTCGTCTATTTAAGCTGTGTGACATTTGGCTATAAGACCCTACTGCTAGGTGAGCTTTTAAGGAGCAAAAGCTAGAAGAAACTTATAATGGTCTAGTACCACAAACATAAGCAATTGTAGTAATTACAATATTTGAATATTATCAAACACTGATATTAGAAAATAATGAGACAAACAGGAGAAAGGAACTTGCCACGCTTCTAGTCCTGAAAACTTTCCTTAGAACTGCTGCTATGCTGGTGTTCTATGGAGAATATTTATAAGGATCAAATCTAAGTTAAATGCTGAATTTAATATAAAACTGCTTGGAAATGTATGCAGATGTAAAAGCATATGTATTCTTATTATTCCATTCAGTTTAAATAAATGCCACTGTATTATTTTCATAAAAGTTAAAAAATGTACAAATGCATAGATATTATTAGCTATATGATGTGAATTCCAGAAATGAAAATACACTCTCCTAATTGTAGTAACCCATATAGGGAGATCTTCAAGGTTTTCATAGTGTTTTACTGAGAATCCTTGTTTTTCAGTCCTTGAGCTAGCCTTTTATCCCATTTTGTTACTGGGGAAATTCGTAAGTTAAGCAGCTTGCTGAAAGCATTTAAGTGACTAGTAAAGGTATAAATGAAGCTAAGGTGGCTTTATTTCCATCATTATAAGAAAGGTGGATGGATTTCTAGTTCTCGCTACCTATTGATGCCTTGTCTTAAAAAATGATAGTGCAAGGTAATTGTTGAAATTGAAATATTAGCATCTAATTCTACATAATATTTTGTGTTAAACACTTTTTTAGGTACTGCCTGAGTATAACAAAGTATTTTAGTTCATTTAAAAAAAACTGTAAAGTTGGTTTGGTCTTGGTTCAGACCAAAACCTTGGTCTGAATCTACATTTAGTGCTGATTGATTTAATTTTAACACCATAACTAGGCAACCACGTGACAGTGAAAAATGAGTAATTTATGGCATTCATTGCTTGGTAGATTATTTTTAAATAAAGTCCCTGTAGCCATTTCTTAAAGCTTCATCTTGTTTGGAAGTAAGCTCTTATTTTCACTTGGCTTACATAAACAAAGAAAACCATAAAAAAAGCATCATCTAACTATTCCGTGTGGCAAAAATCTCATTCCTAAATTTTTTCTCATATTTGCTATAAAACCTTTTCAACAATGTGGATAGATACAGACTGCTGGTGTTTTTTTAGAAATTTATATGTGACTTATGAATCATGGTAAAAAAAACCCAAAGAAGTAAGAAGTGAAAACTTCAGATGGAAAGGTTGGGGAAACTTAAAATCCAGCACAGGCTAAGCCAATTCTTATGTTTTATTTTTTGTAAATGATATAGCAGACTGACTCTTGACTTTCCTACAGAGCATGAAGTACAACATTGAAATATTCCAGAAGGAATTTTTCTAGCCTTGCAGTGCAGTCTTAAAAATTTTTGGTAGATGTGAAATAGAGGTAACTCTAAAAGCATGTTTCATGGTTAAGCCTGTTTCTTTGACTCATATGCTTTATATAAGCATATTTTTAATATGATAAATGGCAAAGTACACAACTTTAGAAGGCTGGTCTTAATTGTTCCACATGCTTGCTGTAAAGTAAGCACATCTAGTATAGTTGTAGTGCCATGGAACTAAAGAATGTTTCACCTGGCTATCTTACTGTCATTTTTTAGGTTGCTAAGCTTTTAAATTCTGGTGTGTATACAATACATAAAGAACTGGTTACGCTATTACAGGACGAGTCACTGGAGGTAATACACTTTTTTTGGAACTTTTTTTTGCTTGTTACATTGAGGCAGATTATCCTGATTTTTCGTAACTCCGCAATAAGACAATGCCATAACTGTTAGAAGTGATCAAACAGCTTTTACGTCTCTTCCACAGGCGCTTCATAAAGATGCCGGCCTTCTGTGAATAAAAAGGACAAAAATAGGAAGCTGTTGGAATTTAGTAAACCCACACTGCATTTATTAGCTCTTTAAAATAGTCATTCTAAATGGTTTTATTACCTTACAAATTATGTGGAAAGACTCAGTTTTGATACTATATTAAAATAATCATTGATAGTGTTCAAGGTTTTTGTTTTGTTTTATTTTAATTTCTCCAATTGAAGAAGAGATTAAGAAGTTGAGCATGGTTCAAATATCAAGGTTTATAGAGTTTCAGTCCAAGAACTAATACAGAATCTGTGAGTGTTTATGAGGCAGTATAGTTTAGCATACCTTGGTTTCAACCTGCGTAAAACATGGAGCACTTAGTTATATTACAGACAATATAGTGAGACATTTTTGGATTGAAAAAAAAGACAAATATTTATGTTTGCGATAAAATCATGATTTCATCTTATACTACTTATTCCAATAGTTGATCTTTTTTGTTTTCTGTGTAGAATCTTAAGATATGGCATGGAAAAATGAGTTTTGCTTTCAGGTGCTCCTTTTTGTTTTGGTACCATTTGTTACACATTTTCAAGGAAAGCAAAACTGTTCGTAGAACATCTGCTTATAGTTTATGAAATTCTGACCCATCTTAGAAGATTTCTCAAGTTGAACACCTGAAAATTGAGACTCAGAAGCAGCTGGTGATTTTGAGAAATTCCTTGATTTGATCCCCGTACATTTATCTATATAATAAAAAATATTTGGTGTTTTATTTTATATCCACCTCAGTCAGGATTGGTGCCAAAAAATATTTAATTATGTACTTTTCTAGTTTAGTTTCAAGTATTACAACATTTGAAAGTAGGATTGTTCTATTAATATATGCTATATATTCTATTTTAATTTTTCAGCTGCAGTTTGTTTTAAAGCAGGAAAAATTGCTTTTAAGATTCAGCTGACAAATTTGAAAAAGGTTTCTTTGTGTTTGTCAAGGATCTTACTTAACTGTCTGTGAAATACAGATCTTTCTTAAGAATGAATGTTCATTTTAAAATATTGTATACTGTGAATAATTTAGAAAGTGTTGACTGGGGTATTCACATAAATCAAAACTATAGTTTTTTTTCCTAAACTGAAATTATAATACTTACTTATTACTTTAAGACATTGTTTTTAAATCCCACTCCTCATCAATGCAAATATGTTGCATGTCATTCTTTTTTTCTTTTTTCTTTTTTTTAACATGAATGTCAGAGAACAGTAACGTAAGAGATGTGAGCAGCGGTATGTCGATCAGAGAAAAAAATTGAGTCAAGTTAATTTACAGACCTCATTCATGTAGTCTTTCTTTAAATAGGTATTAGATGCCCTGGTAGGTCACCTTCCTGAAATCCTTGAACTAATGACTAATGGAGGAGAAAACAGTGGATCCGAAAGCCAGGTGGATATTCTCATGGTTTTTCAATTTGCTTTCTAAATGAAGGTAGTAGCAAAGTTGTTCAGACATATATTGTGGGAAAAGGCTTTCATGATTACTTTCCACTTTGAAGAGATATAAAGTTTCCGGTTTTTGATTGTTCATTGACTTTATAAACTTTAAAATAAAAAAAAAAAGATTTTGAAAGATTAGAATAATATAAAAATGAACAGTTCATCCATGTTCTTTTTCTAATTAACCACAGATTTGCTGAAATAGACCAAATTATGAAATAGAATCAAGTTAAAACAAAACTTGTTTTCATGCTAAAGAGTGATAGCTAATACCTGATTTTTAATTATTTTTTTTTATTTTTATACTAATATGACAGCTTCCCATGGTTGCCATTTTCAGACATAGTTTCTGCTAGAAGGAAGACTATTTCCTGAAGTAAATGCACTGAATCAGGATTTAGGAGATCTGTATTTGGCTCCCAAATGCTAATTTAATTGTATGTGACTATGGATAGCGGTTTATTCAGTGACTCCTCACCTGTAAAATGGAAGGTGAAAGAACATCTCCGGCTTCAAGATGCTGTTTTGAGCATACTTCCTAAATGTACAGAGCAATTGAGAAATTCCAACGATATAAGAACTGAATACATTTATTTTCTTGTATGGACTAAAGTTGAGAGTGTAATTAAAAATGTAAATTTGTCAGATGTTTACCACTGTAAAGGTATATAACACATAAAAACTGCAATGTCAAGTGTGACAGTCTGTTGCATTTTGCTTAGTGCTAAACAGAACTTAGCTTGGCTGCTGTAAAGTCTTTGCCTCCTACTGAGAAGAGGTGTATAAGTCCTATTAAAATTAATTAGGGAGCTGAGAAAAGTAACTGCAAAGATTAAGAGCCTAGAAGGAAAATGGGATTTATTTGGTTTGAGAAAGAGAAGACTGAGGAGGGTTGTCGTAATAGTCTTCATATCTGTACAAGGGTATTACAAAGAGAACAGTGATAAGCTTTTCTTTGTCAGGAGGAGGGGTTGGAAATGAAAGTGTATTTGGTTAGGTACTGGAATAGCTTTTTGTTTAGTTAAGTGGAATTTATTGCTTAAGGGAGATTGTTTAATTCTGATCATTAATTTTTTTTAAGAACAACTTAGACTAATATCTGGAACTATGACTGGAAATGGTCACAGTGTAGCTGATCCTGTCAGAGGAGAGGAATTTACTGACCCTTTAAAATCTCTTCCCTTCTTACACTGTTGTGATGTGCTTTTTAAGCATAGTAACATGACATACAGCTAGCAGATGTAAAATTATTTTAATGTTTATATTTTTATTTCTAGTTATTGTCTATTCCTGACTTGATTCCTGCATTAACAACAGCAGAACAGAGAGCAGCAACTTCTTTAAAATGGAGAACTCATGAGAAGTTACTACAAAAATATGCATGTCTCCCTCATATCATATCAAGTGATCAGATTTATTACCGTTTTCTTCACAGGATGTTGACAATCATTTTGACAAATGTGAGCCTGCCTGTCTCTTTCATGTTGTTTTTTATTTATTTAAGCTATTTAGAACAATGACTACCAGATGTTTGCAATGTGTAGTACTTTATATATTATATTAATCTTAAAGTACTGTTTCTCATTGCATATGGTATCTCAGGCTGTGTGTTTTTTATATGAGACTGGGAAATTGCTCTAAGAACTCCCTCTCCTTTGAGGAGCAAAATTTGAATTGACAGATTATCATGTTTTTCCTCCCACCCAAGACTTCTTTGCTTTCCTTGTGCTCATTGTCAGTTTGTTTCTAGGTAAATAAAAACTTTTTCCTCTGAGATATGTCTTCTTTTTCCAGATTCCATACACTACTTTGCATTGTGTTTCATTCTTTATGAGAGAACACTTTATTCTGAAAATCAGCAATGATTTAGAGCTACTAGTCTGAAATTTTCTTGAATTAATTCAAGTGCAAAACTGTCTGTTGTAAGAGAAGATGTTGTAAGTTTTATTTTCTAACACCTACAATATAAAAGGTGCCTCCTAAACGTGGAATACTTTAAGGTGTTTATGAAATAGCTGAAGAAACAAGTTAGGCAGAAGGGATAAAGAAGTAGTTGTCTCATGAATTGCCAAAACTTTGTTATTCTCCCTTTATGCCAATTAAACATTATGCCAATTATTTCAAAATTTATAAAGTTAAGCTAATTTTTAGCTATTTTTTCTACTTCTAGGATTTTTATACATTTTTATTCATATTTCTTCTGGTATGTTTAATTGTGTTCCCTTTATTTCTTTCAAGAATGTCCTGCCAGTCCAAAAAGCAGCTGCTCGAACTCTCTGTGTTTATTTACGTTATAATCGCAAACAAGAACAGAGGCATGAGGTTATTCAGAAACTGATTGAGCGTAAGATAATTTTTCCTTGATTACTTAGAGACGCAAGTTAGTTTTGACTGCACATCTATTTATGGTTATATTTATTCAGTGTAGCTTCCTGACATCTTTTGTGGGATTACACTTAGAAGACAGTCAGTTGCTCATATTATCACCAGGCAAAACATATTGTGCCTATGTGAGGAATATATCTGAAGCTTATGTAAAGGAACTGGGAAAGAGGCAGTGTGGGAAATTGATAATATGCCAAGACCCCTCCCACCCTACTTCTCGAGTCCAAGATTACTTAGCTGTAGGTGCTGCAATATACAAAGCAGATTTCCTCTATAGAAGTAAAGTTTTCTAGAGGCTTCAACATAAGAAGTGACGAATAAATCTTCTCAGAAGCTAATTTATGAATGACTTAGTCACCTAAGTTGACTTTCTGGTCTACGCTATGTGTTTTAAAGATAGGTTAGAAGTTTAAATAGTTCCCATTACCAATCCTTCATGTTTACACAGTAATTTTGATACACCTATGACATGGTTTGAAAGGCATACAGGGCTTTGTTTAACACAATAGCTAGTACACTTGCTATTTTTGCTTTTTTAAATGGTTAAAGAGACAGGTGGTATTTCTGAAAAGAATGATCACTGATGGAAATGGTCATTGAATTCAGAAGGTTAGATTTTTCACTGGAAGAAAAAATTGAGAGAGGCTGAGAAAGTGTGCCTTCTGAGGAGTATGATTGTCATCTTTGAGTCAAAGGCTAACCTTTGAAATGTTTTCTAGCTGACACTGAAAACTTAATAGATAATACCTATGGATTGTTATTTTTCAGAACTGGGCCAAGGAAAAAGTTACTGGAACAGACTTCGTTTTTTAGATACTTGTGAATTCATTATGGAACTGTTTTCAAAATCATTCTTCTGTAAATACTTCTTTCTACCTGTGCTTGAACTTACACATGATCCAGTGGCAAATGTGAGGTACGGTACAAAGAGTATGTAGCAGTGTACAGGAAAAACTTTCAATAATATATTAAGAAATATCATTACAGGTTTTATGTCTTGTTTAAATAACGACATTTGAGTAAAAAGGTACAGAGCCTTCAGAATGGTCAGTGTTAAAGGTCTAGGGGACTATGGAACTGATGTTAGAAAACCACAGAAGCAGGTCAGTCTGACGGTGTGGAGGACTGATTGAATGTGTTGAATTTTAGGAGTGAAACACTGAGCAATAGATGAGAAGAAAGTAACACACTGTTTCACGGGTATAGATAGAGAAATGTAACTTCAGTCTCCATTAATTTTCATCCATTTCAGCATCACTATATGTAAAGAAAAACACACAATCAGTTCTTTCAGTGGTCTGACCTTAACAAATTAGCGTAAGTTTTACCTTATGTAAAAGTTTTCTACTTTGTTGTTAAAGTAAATTGAAAAAGAATGGAAAATATAAAGAATTTTTTTGTCGTTCATTTTTATACAGTGTTTTTTCCATTATTTTTGTAGTAAATTTTTTTTCTTTAAATTTTTCTTTGAATTTTTTTCACTAAACAGTTAGGGACGAGGCAGTTATAACCAATACAAAAATAGTCTTTTTTTTTTTGTCACTTATTTTGTGTGATTTTATGCTTTTAATCTTATTTTCGATGAATGTAATTCATGTTGTCGTCATTAGCATGTCTGAACATATAATGCTGCGTAGAGGTTTATATAAGCATAATTTGCACATACATGTGTGCATTCCGTAAGCTTCACTTCGTATAGTTTATTACCAAGTGAAACAGTTTAGATATAGATGTTTTTAGTTTCACAGGGGCCCTCTAGTAACAAATAAAAATGTAGCCACACAGTATCTGAACAGAAAGGTATTAATTTTAAAGTTTCTATTCTTGGTTATTTCATATGAATAATTTTTGTCCCTGAATTTACTGCATTTAAAATTGCAGCTCACAGCTTCTGAAAGCATCCTAGCCTGTTACTACTTTTCTTTGATCTTGATTCCTAACCACACTGTCCACCCCTTCCATTGCCTTGAGGAGTGCTTATTGGACCCGTGACTAGTCTGGTTAAACTCACTAAGCTATCAGAAAACTGGTCGCATTTTTCTGCCCTCCACCTCTCAAATAAGTTGGTTTTCTGCTATTTTAGTCAGTTAAGGGTTGGGCTGACTGAGCTGAAGAAAGGTCCAGCCAGTAGCAGAGAGAGCACAAGAAGGGGGAGCCTCCAGACAGAAGCAGAGAGATAGGGTAGGGGAAAGAAGGGATTTCTTCTTTTAGGAGCCAGTAAATAGTTAAAGCCTTTTAGTCTGTCTGATACTTCTTCGTCCTTGCAGTTGTATGGAACTGCAGTCACATGACTTTTGGTGAGACTTAGACTTCTTTGTACTCATGGACCAGATTTCCAGGGTATTTAGGTACCTGATAGTTAGGTATGTAGATAATTTTGAAAATCTAGAGGTCTGCTTATCTTTCTAGGTTAAAAAAAAAAAAACAACCCAAATCAAAGAAGTCTTTATTGACTTTCAGATACAGGACTGTAGTCCTGATCTACGAAGGAGCTTTTGAGAATGTTACAGTATGTCTGGAAACAACACTTACGCAACAATCATTTCAGAAAAATAAGCCCTACTAACTGAATTATTTTATGTCAAATGGTAGCATGCAATACAAAAATTAATAATGTTTATTAAACATCTGGATCAAAAGGTGAATATTTACTCTTTTTTTGTAGGATGAAGCTATGCTATTTGTTGCCAAAAGTTAAATCTACTCTGAAGATTCCCACTGATAAACATTTACTTCAGCAGCTGGAATTATGTATAAGGAAACTTTTGTGTCAAGAGAAAGACAAAGATGTCCTGACTATTGTAAAAAGAGTAAGTGTTTTTCTTTTCCAGCAGCATTTTGCTTGGGGTTTTCATTAAAAGTTAAGATGATCAAAGTTATGCTTTCTGGTGATTTTCTTAATGTAAGAACAGGATACTGAAAAATTCTATTGTCATTATGTAATTTTGAACAATTAAGAGAAGATTAATATAGTGTATTCTGTCAAATTTAAGAATTGGTATTTCCTTGGTTACTTATGTTACAGTTATTTTCTAGCAACTGGGATTCAGGATTTTGGCTCGATGACCATTTGTGAAAAAATAGCAGATGACTAAAGATAGGATTAAAGGTTGATCCTGGTAAAAATGATCAAGACTTTGAGGTAGAGATATCTTGTAAATCTTTTTATTTTACAATATATAGGTAAAGGATTTGTAGGACTTTGAAACAGTACAAATGTCTTTCTAATGTGAATATTCATGAACAAGTATATCTTTAAGAGATGCCCATGCTTAGTTTTAAAGAAGCCGTGAAGTGAAGTAGCTCAAGTAAGTGGCTTCCTTATATGGCCAGTCTGCAAAAGAAGTTGAGTGAACATGTTCCTGGAGCATCCTGGCTTATTCACCAGTTCCTGAGTTCTTTTTTCAGTCTTGGTTCCTAGGTCCATGCTCCTGCCATTCATGCTTCTGTGCTTTCCTTGAGTGTATTTTGAGTTCCATTTAGATAGTCTATTAATCCTTTGTTGTGAGTCTCAGCAGGGCTCTGAGAATACTCTCTGACAGTTTTTAACAGCATTTGTAGCACAAAAATGCAATCATGGGCTTCAAACATTTAGGAAGAAAAGGCGTGTTTAATTTTGAATACCACTATTCTAAGCTTCTTATCTGGACACTTTTTTAGTTAAAAGTGTGGCATGCTGTTGAGTAATGATAAATAATGTTTTGATTTTCTTGATAGACAGTGTTAGAATTGGACAGAATGGAGATCTCTGTAGATGCTGTAAGTACTTACTAACTTCAATACTTACCAAGTACTTTTAAATCCCATTTTCATGTAGTGATTTTTTACTTCTATTGATTTTATTTTGAAGTTTCAGAAAAGATTTTACGAAAATGATTTATTGGATCAAGAAAAAGAGAGACAAGAACATCTCCTTTTGGAAATGGTATATTTTATCGGTACAATCTGTCCTTTTTTTAATAGTTTGTAGCTAAATATTAATGAGGCAATAATTTTAAGGTAGGGAA